GGGTCCCTCGCTTCAGGTCACGCAAGCGCTTGCAATGCCAAGCCCCCCGGCGGCTTTGCTGTGGTGCGACCTGTGCGCGCTGACCAAAAGCATCGAAGTCAGAGAGACTGCGGGCACTCAACTGAGCAGACCCCATTGAGACTCGATTGATGGACCAGACTTGGTGTAGATGCCATTGTGATCCATTGTGTGTGTGTGCCTATCATCGGCTTCCGCAGCTGCGCATAAGAACCCTCATGTCCAGGTGAGGTTCCAAAGGCAATGTCCTCAGCTGACACGGCAGCAGTCGATCGGAGTCGACCAGAGGCCTTGAATTTGTGGATCCAGTACCATCGGCTCAAGCGGATTCTCACGCCAGGACAACCTCTTCGGAGATTGGGCGTGCATGAGGACGAGCCGAAGCTGCTGACCTAGAGTGAGGGGATTAAACCTGGCCCATCCAATGGGGGTTCCAAGTAAGTAAGCAGCAAGTAAGTTGGCGACAGCCCCAAGCATTCCCAAGTCCAAATCAGCACGAGACATTGTGCACATCCTTGGGTCACCGTCACCAACGATCATTGTGCATTCCCAAGCGAGATTGAAAGCTCGGTTCAAGGGAGATTAGAAGATCATCCTGGTCAGTTCACTGGACTTCTTGTGAGACCGCTGGATGAAATCTGACATGGCATGCACTCATGCACCAACTTGTGATATCCAAACTCCCAGAGATCTTTGGAGACTCTCAGAGCACCTGAACTTCATAGACTCTTAGAGCAGCTGAGAGGGAAGCAGCTGGTGTATGCAACTTCAAGGTCTTTGTCCCACTCGCATGCTACCCTCCCCGCACAGGACGGTTCTCCAAGAAGGCCAAGGATTTGGTTGCCTCACCGAGGGCAGCGAGGCACCGCGGAGGGCGGGGCCGGCCTCGAGCTGACCAGCGGGTCCACCGGGTCGGACTGCAACAGGAAGATCAAGTGCATACAGATGTGTGGAGTATAGTGAGGTTAACTGTCCAAATCCTTAGCCGCAACAATGCAGCGAACGGCATCAAGGAACAGGGTTTTCTATGTTTTTTTTGGATCTTACATGCCACTTGGTTTGGTTTTCTATGGTTTTGGGTTTGTGGTTTTCTATGGTGTTTGGCTCGATCTCAAGTGAAATCACTTACTTTCTAAACTCTCATGAGACGCGAAAAAAGCTCAGCTTCAGCCTGCAAACGGAACAAGACTGGTTAGGGTGTCGGCTTACATCGCTCATCCTGCCCGCGGGTGTGCCCAAGCCGGTTTTGCGCATGCGGCAGGTGGAACTCTCCATTCGAGCGGAGGCCGAGGCGAAGCCATTTGAGAAGGTTTGCCGTTTGAATTGAAACATATTCATAATTATATATGTAAGTATATTAATATATATATATATATTACATTGAACAGGATTGTCCAGCTATGTACTTTGTATATATTTTCTATATATACATATGCAAAATACTTACCTGCCATGGACATACCTGGACTTTGCTAGGGTCAGAATATAATTAGTTATGAATTATGAATAGTGTATAAATTGTATATGTATATGTATGTATGTATGTTACTTGTACAGTTGTCAGCAGACATTGAGTGTTTTGTCACTGACTACCCCTTGGCTCCACACTGTTGCCCTCAAGAAGGGAAGCACTGAACAAACGCTTCTCATGACGGGCTTCTCCCAAACGCCGTCGGATGGATCTTCCAACAGAGGTGGGTCAGAACCCCAAAGGCCCAACAGGTACCTCAGCCGTGGATGCTAGTTTAGGTCGCTTCACACCTCCACACGGCTCCGCGTGCTCCCGCGCCCAGGACGGACGGACCCTCGAGGAGCGACGTGGGACACCCTACACCATTGGCTCGGGCACGTGCGCGGACCCAGACCGTGGGAAGTGGGAGACGGCCACGTCGGGAGCTTTGAATCGTTTTGTTGCTTTGTGAAAGCTTCATCATGGGGTGCCCTATTGTCCCTACTATATATAGGGATATGTTGTGTTTTTGTGATGTTTGTTCAGTCACTGTCCTGAGGTTTTTGGTGATATTTTGTTTGGAGGAATTAAGACGGAATTACTATAAGAGACTATCAGAGACTGGGACATATATTTCGGACCCTTCTTGTAGGGAACGGGTCCAAAAGAATCTCGTATTGCGGGTGAAACGTCCCTCATTCCCTACGAGTCCTACGTGTCCTGCTATATATTATTTGTGGGGCGGGGAGTTTCCCAAGACTTTTGGGCGGTACTTTGGTTCCATCCATCGATCAGCTCACATGATTGGTCACTATTTGACCAAGGGTTTGCCTTGCTAGCATCACTTTGGCACGGTACATGCTGCTGGCAGACGTCCCAGTTGATCCCTGCAGAGCCTCTTGCATCCATGCATCCTTTCATTTGCATCATGCAATGTTTA